ACTCTTTCCCCCTCTGCCCCGTCTTCTCTAGGCACGAAAAGTTTGTTTTCTTCTTATTTGCAAGTCAGCTAACACGTTTATTTTATTTAAGCTTTGTGTAGTTAAAAGTCTCAAGGATTATACACCAAAATGTAAACAACAGATAATAAATCTACAGGTAATTTTAATTTTCCTGTTCATACTTTTTTGTGTGTTTTTCAATCTATCTACAATAAATGTATAAACTGCATAGCCAGAAAAAAAATAATGTATTTTATAAAACACAATCATAGACAATAGGAGACTGTGGTTTCCAAAGAGTCAGGAGGATGCACTGTACAAACAAGAGACAGAAGCATTGAATACCAGGAGTTCAGATGTGTCTGTGGGCCTATCTCAGTCCCTTTTCCATTTGGTGAATCCCTCACCTATCACTAATTACTGTCTTGCAAATTATATTTTATCAGCAGGCCCTTTCTTCAAACAAAATGTAGAGATGTACAGTATATTTAGCAAACACCTTCCTGAAGAGTTAAATGGTGGGTGCTGATTGAAGTGGAGATGGGAACCTGGACCCCCACCCACTAGCTCACCATCCCGCCTGGAGAGCTTTCCCAGGCGCTCCTGGAACCCCTGTCTCTGGCGAACACAGTTCTCCATGAAGCCATTGGTCCTCGCTCAGGATATTTGAACTGCTTCACATTTCCAGAGGCTGTTCAGACATGGACCTCTCTATAAAGCTCATTAAGTGTTATGTAAAATACTGATTTCCTTCGTTTGCCCTCAGGTTTTCTGCTGATCTTTTTCACATCAAAACCAATACACATGACTAACCCATCTTATAACTGAGAAGTGATTCTAGCCAGAAAGCCTTATCATCATAGTAGTGGTGGCTTTTAGCTCAGAAGGAAAAGAGAAAGATTTGTTTGCTTATGCTTCTCTCTGAACTTCCTACTTTCTTCCCAAAGATTAACAAATCCAGTTTGCTTTCTTTTTTTTGTTTGTTTTCTTTTTTTTTTTTTTTAACTCACCAGGTTGATGGGTGGAATATTTGGTGATTCATGGTCTGAAACTCTCTGCTCTCTTGACTTGTGTGATGTCCTGTTCAACTGCTTTTCTTCCTCATATTATTTTCTTCTCTGCTTCATTTGCTAACAGTTCTGTGTGGTTTGGGGCATTCAATGGTCTGTCTCTGGGCAAATGATTTCTTCTTGCTTCTCTCTCCAGACAACTAATGCATGCCCAGGGTTCAGTGATCACTGCGTTGTGGATGGTGCTTGAGTGAGAGTATAATTCAGTCTCTCATGCAGGGCCACTGTTTTAGCTTCCGTGTGTAGTGATAGTGCTATCTTGAGCTAATATTAATTCTTCAAAGTTGGTATATCTGACTCCAGAATCATATTATTGCCACTATTTCTTGTCCCAACATCTCTATTCTGCCAGCAGCAACTCTATTCTCCCAGTCACCAAACTTGAAATTTTATTATTTATAACTTAGTTCCTAAATATCATCAATTTTACATTCAAAACTTCTCATAGGTGTCTCTTTGCTTATTATTTCATGTCATAGAATTTTAGAACACAAAGCTTTCTTACCACATGGTTTTTAATCAATAAAATGTCTTTTTATTGATTTCAGAGAGGAATAGAGAAGGAGAGAGAGAGAGAGAGAGAGAGAGAGAGAGAGAGAGAGAGAGAGAGAGACCAATGATGAGAGAGAGAGAGAGAGACCAATGATGAAAGAGCATCATTGATTAGCTACCTCCTGCATGCCCCCACTGGGTATCAAGCCTGCAACATGGGCATGTGCCCTGACCAGGAATCGAACCATGACCTCCTGGTTCATAGGTTGACATTCAGCCACTGAGCTACACTGGCTGGGCAATAAATATTTCTTAAATCTGAAACTAATCCAACTCTCTCAGAGAAATTCTAAAAGTTTGTTAACATTCTAAGTAATCTCTGCCTCCTATCCCTCATCTCGATAGTCTTTTCTCCTACACTGTGGATTTAATCATGAAAACACCAGTTGAAGTTAGGAAAACAGTTACCTCGGGGAGGGGAGGGTTTTGCAGGCCTATTAATGTTCTCTTTCTTGAGTGGGCTAGTGTTACAAGGGAGAGTCCACTCTTTGTCAAGCGTGATTTGTGCCCATTTTTCTGTGAGTGTTACTTCAAAATATTTTAAAGCAGTCTTACAACTGACACAGTACAAGAAAAATATGATTGCCGGTCAAATGATTTTTTTTTTTTAAAGCTGTAGATTCTCTAAAATGTGTAGAGGTAGACAATTTAAATTCTGAAAGTATCCGATAGAGGATGTGAAGAAACAGGGACATCGTTGGTAGGAGGGCCAATCAGTACATGCTGTGAAGTTGGAAATGTGTGCACCTTGCACCTGGACAGTTCTGGCAGGCCCATACCCAGAGGAACTCCTGCCCATGTGCACAGGAGCTGTGAGCAACATGTTCCCTGCAGGATAGCTTATAATAGGAAAAAGTAAAAGTGAAGGAACCTAAGAGCCCCTCACAGGTTAAATAAAATGTGTTTTTTATATAGTGAAATATTAAACAGTTAAATATATATATGCATTTATAATAGGGCTCTAAAAATACTATTGTGGATGAACAACAGATGCAGAATATGTATAGCTTTATACACATATGCATTTTTAAAATATCAAGCAATACTGTATATTATTCCTGGGCACATATTTATGTTAATGTGTTTTTAAACAGTGGAAGGAAACCCTGTACACTTTCATGGTGAAGCAGGAGCCTCTGGGGAGTGAGTGGAGGGTCTGGGATTGAGGATGGGGACAAAGGAAACTGTCACTTCATCTTTCTTGTCCTGTTTCTTCAATTAAAAATTTTTTTTAAAAAGGCAAATGTGATTAAATGTTAACATCTGTTCATTCTGGGTGACAGCTCACAGGGTATTAGCTATACGATTTCTTGTCATTTTTCCTTTGTTTAATTTCTGAAAATGAAAAATTCATTGAGATAACAGCATCTTTCATAAGTTAGTCTTATTTATTGTCTGGGTATTTTATGTTCCTGTTTGTTTTAAGGGGAAAAAAATGTATGTAAATATAAGGATAGCTGAGATAGCAGAATTTCCTTTTTGTTGTTGTTGTTTATGTTCACAAAGCAAACTTGTTTTAGTTAACATTCTTTGGTATCGAAACGTGGCCGCCATACAGACTTGTGAAGAGTAATCATGAGGGCCGCAGTTCACCACAGTCACCACCTCAAGCTATTGGAGCCAAAACAGCCAGAAGCAAACAGAATCAAGAAGTCAAAAAGATTTCCTCTTTGGTGCTAATGACTTGCTGGTATGCAGTTGTTAGGACTGAAGGTCTGAAACCACCCAGGTTGATTGGCTCAGTCTCCAGGATGTCTTGGGTTCATTTCCACAAGGCTGGCAAAAGAATGGGACCCTGCCTTTCCCAACACTTCCTGCGTGCAGCCCTGAGCAGCATAGACGTCTGCTCGGGCAGGAAGCAGGGCGCCCTCAAAGTTCCATATGCTAGATGGACAGATGGATCGACCATGGGCACAGACCTTATCACAGATACGGCCATTAGTCACTGGGCGGGTGGTCTGGATGTCTTTGGAGATCCACCCAAGGTGATTGCTATGACCATGTTTGAAAAGTTAGCAGATAAATGTGGACTTAGACTAAATATTATAGAGTTAGCCCCTAAGTTGAGGCTTTTAAACATAGACAGGTAAGAGGAGGTGGGGGGCCTTCAGACCTTGCCCTCCAGGATCATCAACTAGAGATGAACGTGGGTCTCTCTGGACTTTAGCCCTCCTCCCATAAGCAGGTGAAAGAGGGAGTACTCCAAAAGAAGGGACTGCCGAAACCAGTTTGGCTCAGTGGAAAGAGCGTCGGCCTGAGGACTGAAGGTTCAATTCTGGTCAGGGGCATGTACCTTGGTTGCGGGCACATCCCCAGTGAGGGCTGTGCAGGAGGCAGCTGGTCAATGTTTCTCTCTCATCGATGTTTCCAGCTCTCTATCTCTCTTCCTTCCTCTCTGTAGAAAATCAATTTTATATATATATATATATATATATATATATATATATATATATATATATATATAAATTTTTTTTTCTTTAAAGAAGGAAATAAGCTTGCTCTGAGCTGTGCATCCCCCGGGAGCCTGGTGGGTGTCCAGCAAGACCAGTGCTGGGGGGCTGAGCCTTTCTAAGTCCGTTTTCAGCAAGGTTTCTCTGTCATAGATCTGAAACTGTGTCCTCACCAATCCAGTTTTATCAGAAACAAAAGCAGTATTTTCAGCTTCATCTGTTTGGCCTCTACTTCAATTGGTTCCAAACTCAAAAGGGGAAGAGGGACACTTTTATTCATTGCTCTCCTCAAAAACCTATTGATCAATTAATTATAAGACCTCAAGATGATAAATTAATATTCTCCAATAATTTGTATACTGAATTTATTCCTACACTCATAATTATCCTGTCTGAATGCTTAGCTGAGCACTGCTCAATTACTTTTAGATTTCATACCTGTGGTTACAAAATTAATAGTATGTACTATTCATCATGGCATGCTTGACCTCACAAAGCTTGAAATAGACTCCATTAAAATGTACATTTTATGGTGTATTATATTCTTTCCCTAGGTATAAGTTTACACAGAAAATGTTATTTATTTAATTCAGTCATTGAATGGCAAAAGCAAAACACACAAACAACCCAGCGTGCTGTAACAGAACCCTGTTCTGCACATGGCCAGCTGTGCGTTGTGATTTTAAGGATGAATTAGTATTCTAATCTCTTTGGGATTTCTTTTATATTCCTGGTGGTTTATGACTGACGTTGAATGTAACTTTGGCTCTGCTTATACTTAATAGGAGATTCATTTCTGTGGCAGGATACACATTTACACCCCAGTGTTGAAAAAAAGCTACTATTCTGCAAGAAGGAAATAAAATGTTGATTTATAATGTCACATTCCGATAGCAGTGATCTAATTCTCCCAACTATTTCTTCCCAGGTCCTGGGAATAGCACAGCTCCTGCAAAGAGTGACTCTTCTCTACCAGAATATTCAGCCTTCAACACATCTGTCCATGCTGCAATTAGACACAGAAACTGGAAACTCCTCACAGGCTACCCAGGTATAGAATGCTCAGCACTCCCCAAAATGGAACGACTCATAACTCTGGGGCTGCTGAATGAGGGGTGGGGATGGGTAAGGGGGGATCTACTACTAACCCTGACCCCTCACCCCCAAAAAAGCTAAGAATTAACTGTAGGAGGAATAAAAGGAAGAAATGCCACTCTAGTGCTTCAGGGAAAATAAGGATTTCAGATAGGCTTGGTTCTCAAGCATAACAAAGAGAACCTCTGAAAGCTACATCCTCAGCCCACAGTGTAGCCTCCCCTGAGCACCTTCTCTAAAAGCGACATCTGTGAAGGACTTGTGGGATATGTGGCATGATGGTTAAGGTCATGGTGTGATTAAGCAGTGTGTATAATGAGGACATTCTTGGCAACTATGGCAATACAATGCTTCATTGTTTGGGACTGCACCATGTGTTGCAAGACATTTTAGCATCCCTGGCCCATGACCACGAAATACTGAGTCATGTGACAACTTCCCCTTCCCCCTTCACACACACACACACACGCACACGCACACGCACACGCACACATACATGCATTCACATTTCTGGATGCTCCTGGGTATGAAGCAGTGAGACATGTCTCATTAAAGCACCAGACGTCTGAGTCTTTGATCCAGACACAGCATCAAGGGCTTCGTGTTTTTCGTGTGTCCTTGCCCCCACAACCCAGCTCAGCTTTGTCCCCCGGGCTCCCTCCACGAAATTAGAACTGACCTACCATGTCTACAATAAACTGTTGAATTTCTTTGCCAGGCTGTGGTCACTGGTTCCCTCCACCATCAGAATACAATGTTTCTGAGATACCCTCATCGGACCCACCAAGCAAGACCCTCTGGCTCTTTGATATTGAGCGGGACCCAGAAGAAAGACATGACCTGTCCAGGGAGTATCCCCATGTGGTCAAGCAGCTCCTTTCCCGGCTACAGTTCTACCAAAAACACTCGGTGCCCGTGTTCTACCCGGATCAGGACCCCCGCTGTGACCCCAAGGGCACTGGGGCTTGGGGCCCTTGGATGTAGGACCTGGGGCAGCCTCGGGTGGGTCGCTAGAAAGCCTTTCTGTGCAAGTTGGAAGTCAGACTCTGCTCGTGTGACTCATTCGTCCTCCCAATGGCTTCCCCTGGCCCTTCTTTTGCCCCTAAACCGCATTAACGAGGTTTTCTCATTTCAACCCCTTGTGCATTTAAGAAGCTGTGATAAAATCTGGAACCCTCCCGCTGTTGGTTTGGGTGCGTGTCTAGAGGAGAGGGTGATTGGGTTCATCCCCTTTTTTCCAGAGCCATGGGTCTGCTGGGAACTTGACTTGAAATAGGAAGTTTGTGAGTCCTGGAGGCCGGAGCAGCTGGCTCCTTTAGCCTCACAAGTCAGATGTGAGGTTTCCCTCTGCCAATAGCCAGCTTTTATGGGGGTGACTCACATTTCTTGCAGCAAATGAAGGGAGCAGACCATTGTTAATGGCTCTGTTGGCCAGCGGGTCTCCCTGTCTGTGAGAGATCGTGTTCAGACGTTCCATGTGAATACACGCCTGGGTCACCCTCGCTCACACACTTCATCACTCACCCCGTCCTGGAGCATGAGGCCCATTTCACTGGTCAGGTCAGGATGGCAGCACGCCTGCTCCTCGGTTCTGCTTTTTACAATAAAGAACTGTGGTTTTATCCCCCTCGTCTCCCCAGCCATTGCTCATGTTGTCTAGACTTCCTGCTACCCGCAGATCCCCCTGGTTTTCTCCTCCCCTTCCCTGTGACTCAGGCGTCCTGTGCCCGAGAAGGCTGCCTTGCTTCTCTACTCTGAGCACCACTGGTTTTGGGAACACTGAGCTCTGCCTTCCTTCTGCCCCTAACACCCAAGTGAGAGCCCTGCCAGAGAAGGCGCCCGCCTCGCTCTGTGAATTTGTGATGAACACGAAGAGGCCTGGGTGGGCAAGGCTTGGGTCTGGGTCTGGTGAGCACTTTTTAAATTAATAAATGAATGATGCTGGTGTCTTTTTAAATTTTATTTTATTGATTTTTCACAGAGAGAAAGAAAGAGGGATAGAGAGCTAGAAACATCAATGAGAGAAACATCGACCAGTTGCCTCCTCCACACCCCCTACCGGGGATGTGCCCACAACCAAGGTATATGCCCTTGACCGGAATCGAACCTGGAACCTTTCAGTCCGCAGACCGACGCTCTAGCCACTGAGCCAAACCGGCTTCGGCTGGTGAGCATTTTTTAGTTACATGGAGTTTACTCTCATGACTGTGGCTTTGTCTCATAATGTAGGATGAGTTGCACTGACTGCTATTCCCCAGCAGTGAGGAAAAGCCCCAGAAAGAGCACTGTTGTTCGAGATGATGGAAATGGGCAATTTGAAAAAGGAAATAGCCAGCATCTGGGATTCTGGGCCTTGAGAAAACCAGGTGGGCACATTCTTATTCTCCCAATCTCACTGCTTTTATGGAGGTTCTAGGGTGAGGGGCAGGATGAGGTGTGACCTACCAGCCCTTTCTCAGTCCCACAATGTCCTCCTGACATGCATCAGCGCAGATTAGCTCCAAAGAGTATCAGACTCAGAGAAATGTGTGCAAAAACTAGACCCTTTTTTTGCATTAGCTCCACTGTTTCATTTGCTGCGTTTCACCAGTGCCTGGTATGTAGAAGGCACTCAATACACTTTTTAAAAAATAAATGAGTGAATGGACGAATGAGCAAATGAGAAAGTCTCACATCATGAAATGTGGTAGTCCCAATGAATTGAATACAGGGATAATATAAATATCTTCCAACCACTGATGTTCTGTTCTCAAGCTGCCTCCTTGGGTAGGAGTACAGTCTGCACATCTGGGCAGCCATTGGGCACGTCATGGTGAAGTTGTAATGTCCGCTGGGAGAGCAGTGGAACATGCCTGCCAAAGGTACTCTGCTTTTGCCAGTAATCCTCAGCTCTATCTGTTCTTCATAGGACACAAGAAACAAACCCACCAACTAATCCGCTAGGTCCTGGGATAGCCACCCTTCCATTCAGTAGCTGGGTTTTCTGGTGGCTCCCAGCTTGGATTGTGTTAAAATAGGATGATTGGAAGGAAATGGTGCAAGAACTAATGACACCTATTACCCGCCTGTTTCACACTCCTGGGCTGGCACACAGCCGGCCAAAATACTATTACCTCTCCCGAGCCTGTGGCAGATTTATGAACTAACTGAGCCCAGATATTCCTTCTGGATCATTCTAATCCAGCACTATAGGTACCATTAATACTTTAAGGTCGGAGGCATCGCTAGATGACCTCTTTTGCTCTCCCTGAAGCTGTCCCCGATTCTGCCTTCTTGGTTGCCGGGTACAGTGTGTATGTTCAGCACTCAGAATTTAAAGGGAATTTTAAAGATTAATTTTCTGTAACACTTTTATCTGAGATTTGATTTTATTCATAATAGAATGCGTTTATTAGATTTCTTTTCTGTACCAGACTGTGAACAGATTCATATGTTTTCATTAGAAGTATTAATGTCATTTCTTTCTGAATTCGCTTATGTTTAAAGAAAGGTTTTGTTTATTTAACTATTTTTCTTTGTTACTTCACAATTGTCCCACATATGGAGGAACAAAAAAAATAAATGATCTTTTAGACTGTGTCAGCTGTGGGTGTGGAATTTCAACTTGTACAATGAAAAATTTCCGGAACTAGATAGAGGTGATGGTTGCACAACATCAGGAATGTACTTAATGCCTCTGAATTGTAATTTTAAAATTGCTAAAATGATAAATTTAAAGTTATTTCATTTTTATCCCAGTTTATTTTATTTTATTATTTTTTAATATATTTTTATTAATTTTAGAGAGGAAGGGATAGGGAGAGAAAGATAGAAACATCAATGAGGAGAGAGAAGTATTGATTGGCTGCCTCCTATACACCCCCTACTGGGGATGAGCCCACAACCTGGGCATGTGCCCTTGACTGCAATTGAACCCTGCTCCTTTCAGTCCACAGGCCGAGGCTCTATTCACTTAGCCAAACCAGCAAGGGCTTATCCCAGTTTTTTAAATGTGTTGGCCCATTTTTATTCTTTCCCAATCAACTCTTAATCTTCAAAATCTATTTTTTCCAAGAGAGTAGCCATCGCTATGTAGGTATGATTTCAGGCTGGTGAGAGACCACCCTTACCAGTCGCTGAGAGCAGGAATGGTCAGTCAGTGTTGAGGTACCCGGCACACTTTCACCTTTGCTCTGTTGCCATAGGAGCCACCCACCAGGTGACACAAGGCAGAGGAGGGTGACTCAGGCTGCCCTGGGCCTGGCCTCAGAACCTTGTGACCATCAGGAGAAGCGATTTCATTCTCAAACTAATTCACCCAGGTAATCAATCATTGAGTTTAAGGTATTTTGTTTAATAATCTTTGTCATTCTAACAATAGAGATAATAATGTCTCTAACAATTTTTAAAGGTACAGAACACTATCAAAGGAAATTAAACACTTCCTAAGCTACCCACCCAGTTAGCCACTATAAACCTCTAATACCTTTTTAAGAGAAGAATGAAGTGGCCACTTTCCAGACTGGTTTTCAAATCCCACTGTGCCCAGCTGAGCCTCATTGGAGACTCAAGATGGTAGAAAAGTAAAATCTCACCTCTTCTGGAAATCTTCATTTTAATCCCATTATTGAACATGGATGTCCCCAGGATTCTTACTCCAAGGGCTCATGGTTTCCCATATACTCTCTCACACACACTTTCTCTCCCTCCCTCTCCCTCGCTCGCTCCCTCTCCTCCAAGGGCCTCAAGACCAGGCCTGGGCACTAAGGAGCCAGCTTGCCAGCAGGACAGTAAGCAGGCACCTGCCTCTTGTTCACATCGCACCAGAGCTTTGCAGAGCAGGGCAGAGTCGATACACACCCTCCTCCCCTCCTCGGTAAACAGGACTTAATGTGCTTTTATTTACATTAAATAAATTAAAGCTGGGATTTGCCCTCTTGGCAATCGTTTTGTAGCCAGGATCGTTCAAGTGCGCACTGTGCGTTGGCGGCGGGACCGGCAGCTGTGCAATAAGGGGAGGAGGGTGCCTGGGACAGACCCTGCTCCCAGAGGCTCACCTCTCCCGGGGATCTCAGCAGACAGGAGGTCCCCCCACAGGGCAGAGAGGAGGTGGAGAGGCTCAGGAGTCAAGGAACTGCAACCTGAAGATCCGCAGAGGAATGTGTTTACCTGAAATGTTGCTTTTTATTTTTGACACCCATAAGGCTAGTGAGTAATTTCTGCATAAACTATGTTTGCAGTCAAAGCCTTTGATTGAAGGACACGCCGGTGGTGTGTGGGAAGCAGCTCTGTGGTGTGGTCATGTTACTTGGGCTTCTTTCACAAAGGGAGCTGGGTTTTCTTGTTCTTAAGCCAGCGCTTGAATGCAGGTGCTTGGGCTTCAGGCGTCACAGGTGATGGAAGTATGTGGGCCACACCCAGGACTCCAGGCCAAGGAGCAGGCCCCTCTGAGTGGGACCTGCGTGCAATCTGTCACTGGGGTTCACAGGTCCTTCTTTCCCCCAAAAAGCTGGTCGCACTTCCTAGGCAGCCAGGGCCAGGAGGACATCCCAGGCATCACAAAACTCCTCAGCCCCTCCCCCCCAATCCCTTCTCCTCCTTCTCCTCTCCTCCCCTCCCCCTCCCCCCCCCATCTCTGTGGCTCATACAGGCCCTCTCATTGCTAGGAGTCTTAACATGGTGTGTCCCCTTAAACTGACATTCTTTACCAGAATAAGCAATTATAAGGGATGCTGTTTTATCACCTCAGTGAAGGGAAAACTAGTGTCATTGTAATCATAAAAATACACACAGTGAGTTGAAACCGGTTTGGCTCAGTGGTAGAGCATCGGTCTGCGGACTGAAAGGTCCCAGGTTCGATTCCGGTCAAGGGCATGTACATTGGTTGCGGGCACATCCCCAGTTGGGAGTGTGCAGGAGGCGGCTGGTCAATGTTTCTCTCTCATCGACGTTTCTAGCTCTCTATCTCTCTCCCTTCCTCTCTGTAAAAAATCAACAAAATGTAT